TGGCCTAAGCGTGCCAGGCACGCCTGGTGCACCAGATGCGCCGCGTGATCCACGTGCGCCAGGTGTGCTGCATGCTCCAGCCGCGTCAGGTGCGCCACGTTCGGGGCACGCGCACAGTGCGCCAGGTGCGCCTGCGCACGTAGCAGTACACATCGGAAAACGTGTCAGCCCCCACCACCCTTGTCGAAACCCATTCCGCAATCGCGGCGGGGTGGTCATTCTAGTGTCTGGTGGACCTGCACACAGCAGGCACTATGCCAGCACCCCCGCCGTCCCAGCCAAAAACCACTGCGCAGTGATTGCGGGCTGCCCGCGCATGATCCAGATTTTGCCTCGAAATGAATGTTGTATCGTTTTTGACAAGATTGCTGGCCCTGCGCGCAGCAGGCAATATGCGGGCACCCCCGCCGTCCTTGTCAAACAGTACAAAGATCGCGGCCCCCCTGATCATGACCCAAGATTCTGGCCCAAAGTGGACTTCACATTATTTTTTGACAGGGGTGTTGTGGGGGGGATTCTCATTGGTCCTGGTTGGCTGCTGGTCGCCTGGGGGAGGGAGTGTTTATTTACAGGGGGCAGTGATAACCCCCTCCCCGAAAGGGAATACGGGGGAATGGAATAGGAGACTCCCTAACTCACTCACGCCCTGAAGGGCTGGTGGGACTCCCCGTCCTCCTCCCAACAGCCAGCATCACACTACACATCCAATCAATTCCTCTCCAGCCAGGCCGCGTCCACGCTCTGGCCCAGACGCCCCGACACGCTGTCCCTACGGGGATGACCGGTCGGCCGCAAACCACCCAGCACGCGCCAGGGGGGTTCCAGACCGGCTGTAACTGTTGTCTATGGGAAGCTCGGGGGCGGCCCAGATGGGGGTGATCATTGGTGGAGCGGATCTCATGGTCGGGGTCATGACATCTCCTCGGACCTCACAGCGCCCTATGCTGAATTTCAACAAGTCCCTCGGCCTCCCGTCGTCCGCGCGCGTGCCCCGGGCTATGCTTTCTAAGTGAACTCCCCTCGTGGGCGCCCCGCTCGTGGCCGCCTACCAGTGTTGAGACAGCGGCATGGGGCAGTGCGATTGGGGAGGCACAGCTATGGCGGCACGGTGATGCTAGGCGTGGTCTTTGGCAGGGGAGTCCCCGCCGCTGCCGGGGTGACCATTGCGGCTTCTCGTGGCTTTGAGGCGCTGCAAGGCCTCGAGAGTTACCGGTTTTGTTTCAGAGCTGGGGACGCCCAGGGCAGGGCAGGAGGAGGAGGAGGAGGAGGAGGAGGAGGAGGAGGAGGAGGGAGGAGGAGGAGGAGGAGGAGGAGGAGGAGGGAGGAGGAGGAGAGGAGGAGGAGGAGGAAGAGAGGAGGAGAGGAGGAGAAGAAGAACCTGGAGGAGGAGGAGGAGGAGGAGGAGGAGGAGGAGGAGGAGGAGGAGGAGGAGGGAATGACCAGGAGGGGAGGAGGCGGAGGAGGAGGAGGAGGATAAGGAAAACCAGCGGGAGGAGAAGGAGGAGAATGACCAGACCTGAGGACTCTCCCCCCGTGCTTGACACCTCTAGCAGCACCCGATCCCTGGCCGGTGCCAGGTTCGAGCCCGCGGACATGCGCTGGGTATCCCTGCCGCCCCTCCGCGTTGCTCATCGCCCGTCCACGTCATTGCCGTTTGTTTGTATGTTTGTTTGTTTGTTTGTTTGTTTGTTTGTTTGTTTGTTTGTTTGTTTTTGTGTGTGATTGTGTGTGTGTGTGTGTTATGTGTATGTGTATGTATGTATGTATGTATGTATGTATGTATGTATGTATGTATGTATGTATGTATGTATGTATGTATGTATGTATGTATGTATGTATGTATGTATGTATGTATGTATGTATGTATGTATGTATGTATGTATGTATGTATGTATGTATGTATGTATGTATGTATGTATGTATGTATGTATGTATGTATGTATGTATGTATGTATGTATGTATGTATGTATGTATGTATGTATGTATGTATGTATGTATGTATGTAGGTGTGTGTGTGTGTGTGCTTGTGTGCGTGTGTGCGTGCGTGCGTGTGTGCGTGCGTGCGTGCGTGCGTCCGTGCGTGTGTGTTTGCTAGTACACTTTGTTTGTCTGTTTGTTCGCCAGTCAGTTTTTTTGTTGCTTGGTCGTGTGTGCGCGTGCGCGCGCGCGTGTTTGTTTGTGTTTGTGTTTGTGTGTGTGTGTGTGTGATTCGCTCTGCGCTCTGGGCGCGCGCCGCTCTGTCGCCTGTGGCTCCGCCGTGTTTCGCCAGCCCCTGCCTCCGCCGCCCCCGCCGGTCTTGGACCCCGTGGCGTTTTTTCCCTTTCCGTCGGAGGTGGCCTGGCCTCCCTGCCACCCTCTGGCGGCGCTTCCCCCCGCGGTGGCTCGTCGGCCCCCCCTCCTCGTGGGCCGCGGGGTTCGCTCGGTCGCCGTCGTCGTTGGCCGTGGGCTCGGCCGCGCCGTGGGGTCCCGCGCCGTCTTTCTTTCCGGGCTCCCCGCCTG